CTTTTGTGCTTTCTCGTTTTTTGTCTCCGGTGTGTTCCGGTTGCGAAGTGACTTGAAGTAAATTTCTTTGATTTAAACAAAATACACCTCTGGCTGTTAAAGAACTTCAGGTACAGGCAAGAGGTTAAAAGATCATTTTTCAATAACGACCACATATCAAGATAAATTATTATTTGTTTAATTGTCAGGGTTTTATCTTTTCAACTTCTATAGACTAATATGATACAAAACATAACAAACAACCTGTCACAATTCGATATTAGACCATCACATTATGTTCTTTGTTACGTTATTTTTATCTGTTATTAGACACACAACGATTAATTGTGTGTGTGTGTGTGTTTCTTATAGAAAAACCACATAGGGCTATCTGCGGTGTCTACCAAAGGGAATCGAACCCATGAACTTTAGTGTTGTAACTCCAGGGGACTTCAGATCAATTGAATATCTGCAATGATTCCCCTATTTTAACCTTATAAACTTTGAAGCTTACGTCTGACCTACATAAAAGTACTTTCATTTTGATTTAAAGAAGAGATATATGAAAAAAAAATAAAATGAAATTTAAGAAATAAACCCAACAAATTTAAATTACATTTTAACAATACATTACTTAAATACACAAAATAAAGTTGTTCAGCGGAAAGTAAAAAAAAAAAAAAGTTTAACCAGTAATTAATTAAAGTTAAGAAACGAATCTTTGATAGAAACGAGTCTTAACGGTAAACAAGTCTTTATGAAAAAAAGTGGCTAACAAAGACCTCTGGATAGTGTTCTGTGTGTGTTACCCTGTGATAAAATTGCTCACTACACGGTAAATTGTGTTACAAAATTGATCGTTTTCAGTTACAAATAATAGCTTTGAATCTAGCTGGTCCTCTCCAAGATAATAAACGATGTAACTGGTATATGATAGCTTAGCAACGAATATACTGATTTAGAGGACCTGGAGGAAATACAAATGAACCAAAGAGAGGATTACAACAGCCAGTTATTTTCTGAATTGGATAAAGTGTTTTAATGCTACAAACACATACTTTGTAATGTCTGATGCTTTCACAGAACGGATACATTAAATATAGATTCGGCTAGGATAAACACCTACCACACAGAACAACCGAGTATCGTGCTACACAACATGAATTGACTATTTGTTTACCAAACGAGCTGTTCTATACACACATAATACAATCGGTTTTGGTGATCTTGATACTTTGTTAGCCTCAGTTTACTTCTGTTGTAGCTTAAGATATCTCTGACACTCTACTTCATATTAAATCACTTTCGTTTGGCCCAAAATACCTTAGTTCCTTACCAGCAAACTAGTTTACACCATTATATTAAAATATCTTAAATAACTATAAAAACTCTTCTGAAAATATCTGTAGATAAATATTATCCAAAAATGATCTTGGTTGATCGTCCTCTTTCGTTAATTTTTCAGATTTTTGTATTATTGGAAGCACTTCCCTTTCATTTGTGTAAAAAATGTAAAATTGTAATAAACTTTCACTTAATGATATTCTTATATGACTATGAAAGCTTGTTACATATATATATGTTTATACTATATGACGTATTATAATTTCAAATAGCCTGAAACTGAGTTAAATGATAACTTAAATTTAGAAATTAAAAAAATCCCGATATGTATCTAATTTATGATATTTGCCAACAAGATTGATAAACACAGTTTCTTGTTTAATACAAATATGTTTAATATAAAAACACTAATGCAAATTACAATAACAGTAATTACAAATAATGATCTATGTACAAAAGATTTACAAACTTACAAACAATATCGAATCTTCATTCTGGTCTGGAACTTCCAGAGTTCACGAGGAGCGAATTAATGTTGAGTTGGTGTAGATGCAATTCGTTATTTCTAGTTTTTTTTTATATAATCCCAAAGTATTTAGGTCCCAGGTTTTAAATTTTTTGATTTATTATTATAATCAGATTGCCAATATCTAAGTAAATAAACATTATATTACGAAAGCCTAAAGAAGAACGAAACGAAATAACAGCATATTATCTGGATAAAAAAAAAAGATCATATTTGAACATTACTCGAAACAGTTTTTGTTGCAAATATTCCACTTATGTTTTGAATGCCACATTTCGTCTCTAAAAGTACGACATGACATATATATATTGTTAAGACAGCGGAAGTCACGTGACGTTGAAAGCATGCGCGCTGGAGTTTCCAGAAGGATCATGACTTTCCCTGGCAACTCTAGTCTGTTCCAGGCGTCCTCTTTTTTTTTAGTATATAAGCCCGGCATATAAAGTGGAGATATTATGGCAGATAGATAGATATAGAGAGAGATAATTGAGTCAAGCGAGCAGCAGGCACCGTAAGTAAAGTGTGTGAATCGCTGTGATTTATAGCGTGAGTTATAAGGCTGTTAAGTTTAAAGTGACTGTCGAAATTCTGTGT